TGTAAGGGGGGGTAGTTGCTGGGGACCAAACTTTGTGACGCAGGTGGAAAAAGTCGCGCAAAAAAAAAAAAAAACAGTTCATGAACTACGGCTTCCACAAACTTCGGATGGCACTAACCGCCAGCAAGGCCGCACAAAAGCACAGGCCCTTGCAAAAACAGATGAAAAGCAGGCTTACTCAAGGCCGGTCGCAAATTGAAAGTGAAAGCTGAAGTCCAAGTAGCGTGGTGGAGGCATTGGCATAGCAGGGGCAGCAGAAGTGCAAATCGACACGAACACCCCTCAAACCAAAAGCCACATTCCGCGTGCAAAGGCACTATGGCAGCACGAGGAGTCCCCAACCCGCCACGTGAGCTAAAAACTTGACCCAGGATTGAGGGATGTTGCCGTTCATCGAGCCCGGAGCCGGAGGTCACGGACAAATGTCCTGCATGCTTCCAAAAATGTTTTGGCTTTCGGTACCATTCCACCCCCCAGCCGCCCCATGGAGCAACCACTGCAGGCCGTGCCAAAGCTCGCTGTGTGGACTCAGTCAATCATCACAAACCAACATGAACAAATCCGAGCAAACGCAAACGCCATTCACCTGAGCTTCTTGTAGTGTTGCAGTCATCGTATTGAGGTTGCTTGAGGCGATTGCGTTAGAGTTGCACTGCTGCACCTCGATTGTTTTTGATTGCCCTGGGCTGAAGCATGCAAGATTCGATGGGCTGTACGCATGTTGCGGGGAGACGCGCGTTTGGAGGAAATTGTCCGTTATGTTGACAGGTTTGGGCTCATCTGCACTAGGAGCGGTAGTCAGGATACCGGGGCACCGGAGTGGGAAGCTATTCCGAGTGTCTAGAAGGAACATACGGCGTTCGCCAGCGCGGCACATGGACCCAGAGCTGCCGACAATTCCTGCTACAACATTTGAGTTAGCTGACATGGACTCGGGCAACGCGCGCCCGCACGGTCTGGAGAGAGCTGACAAAACGGCTTGCGGCAACGCACCTGTCCAAGACAAGGATTCAATCCACAGTGGCACCAAGAGAAAACGGATTTTACGAGCAGCATCCAGTTTGGCTCCGGACACAAGCAAAGCACATCACGAGATTTGCTCCGAAGCTGGTGTTGAATGTTTGGCGGATAAGGAGGGCTTGCTTGCAGCAAATCCACCACCGACAGCAACACAGCCAGCACGCGACCGCAGGAAATTATTGCGTGCAGCATCCAGCCTTGCGCCCAGCCATTCCTCACAATCAACATGGCGAGATCCCCCCAGCCCCACCCAAGTTGACGATCACGTGGCAGTGCAAGTGGACGAAATCCATGGCAGGGATTCGTGCTGTGCTGGCGGCAACGAGCTTTCAGAGAGAGTAGCTGTCGAACCAACAACTCCGACAGACTTGGGGCACGCCTCAGGCGATGGGCCTGCATTGGCAACAAGTGCCGCGCAATTTCAGGATGGCTCAAAACCAGACCCGCTTCACGGTACGGATTGTGGTGCGGATGAAATGCAATGTTGTGATGTTGGGGTGGGCCCTGCCCATACCAGATATGATGTCACGCGCTTGGAGCCGCACATGGCAGACATTGCATGTGTTGCAGCACGGCCTGAAGTTCAACCGGTTCAATCAAAGGTTCATGTGCCAACCCGGCGGCGCATCGTTGGCAAACAAAGTTTGTACAGAGTTTCCCCATTGTCGAAAGCATCGTCCGTGATGATCCGCGAAACTTTGGGACATGTGTTGCGCCCACCGGAGGCCGGCTTTCTTGTACGAGTTCATGGTGATGGCTGGGGCGGCCCACTTGAAGGTGGCGCTGTGTCGTATTTGGCAACAATCACAGAAGCAGATGCTATGACGTATACAGTTGTTCGTCGTGGGGACTGTCATGGTTCATGGGATGAGACCCATGTTTTGAAGAAGGAGTGCTGCATCATTGCCAAATCAGCTTCCCAGCAAGACATATACTTGCGAGATGCTGGTGTTACTTCTTTGCGCTGATGCGCAAAGTCTGGTGCGTTTGTTGTAGAAAGGTATGTGTACAGCTTGCAATGTACAGCATTGCACATAGCCACCACGCATTTCTGAGAATCCCGCGCATTGCACAATGCTGGAAAATGCTCAGCGTGAGGCGCATTGTGCAATGCCATGCTGCAAGCCGTCCCCATGCTGCGTGATCATTGGCATATGTGGTCTGCCATGTGTGTGTTTTGGCATGCTAGCAAACACTTGGTGCCAAGGCGAAGTCGTAAGGGAGACGGTTATTGGTTGAAATCATGAAGCCGAAAATACATTTTCTTTGCATGCTGATAAGGGATGCCGTGCCAGTAGCAGTGAATATTTAAAACAATTCCCCCGGTCCAGCAACACATAAGGTTTCGGACCACATGACATGAACATTGGCAGAGAAGCTGTCCGCTGCCGTCGATGGAATACCTATGCACCAGGCGGCCGAATTCAACAGCAGCAACTGCAATTTGTGTCGTTGCAAATGTAAGGCTGTTTAGGAAGGGTTCTTCGTCTTCAGTGGTCACCTGCAAGAGCAAGATGCGCAGATCGCTTGGAGGACGGCGCAACTCTTGGACCCGGTGGTGACAATCCAACAGCATCAACAGACGTGAGTGGCAATGACGATTCAACGGAGAAGCTGCCGCCTGCATGCACGAAGAATTCATGGAAGAATTCACGAAAACTTGCGTGCAGTAACCACTCTTTTTTCGAACTGCTTTCGTAGCAGTGGCGTAGGGTCACCGTCACTGACATCGTAATCATTGTCATCATCACCCTCGGCATCACCATCAACCACATTTACCTCAACTGTCCTCACCTTCAATTTTATCGTCGTCGTCACGACTACAAAAAAATCTTCTGTCAGTTCCCAAAGGCTTCAAAGGTTTTTTTTTGGATACTTTTCTTTTTGTGGGTGGTCTTTTGTTCTGAGCCTGCCTTGTTTCGGGCGACGAAGGCCATGAAGGAAGGATGGAGGAGGTGCTGTGGAGCAGGGGAGCCGGTGAAGAAAAACAGAAAAAGTCACGAAAGCAAGAGCGACAGAAAGAGCACAAGATTAAAAGAAAGAAAGAAATAACGGGACACAGAAAGAAAGAACGCATTGAAGGAAGAACGTCTACAGAAAGAAGGACACAGAAACAAGAAAGACAGAAAGTCGTTCATGCTGTCTTTTTATAGGTTGTAGTACACAACATTCATGATTATCACCCACGTTTCTGAACTGAAATTATTATTCGTAGTGTTTTCTTTTCAAAGCGCCGTTTCATCATAAATCATCATCCTTTTTAACAATTTATCGTTGCTCAAGAATTTCCATCACACTATATCATTCTTCATGATGCTCCCGTCATTTTCCATCATATTACATCAAATTTCACTTTGTTTCATCAAACTTCATCAGTTTCATCATCGTTTGTTTATTCTGCATTTTTACTTTTCCGTTTTGTGTTTTCAATCATTTCTATCACTTCCATGGTTTCCCAGCATTTTCAGCATATTTCATCATCTTGAAAAAAGAATCAGCATGTTTTATCATGTTGCATCATTTTCATTATGTTTTGTCATGTTTCAACAGTTTTCCTCATTTTGATCACGTTGGAGCATTGTTCATCATTGTTCTTGGCTTTTGTCGTATTTACAGTACTCAGCTTCATGATATTCATGTTCCATGATTTCCTATCATTTTGTATGAAATCATTTCACATGATTTGCAATTGGATCAATTGGGGCAGGGCTCGCCACCCCTCCTTTCCCCACTGAACGAACTCATATTTCATCATATCTCATCATGTCTCCTCGTACGTTATCATTATTCAAGATATGTCCTTGACTGCTTCATCATATCTCATGGTATCTCATCATGTTTTAGCATATTTTACGCTTATTCAAGGTTTGTCCTTGTCACCCCGCATATTTTATCAGTTTGCGCCAGGTTTTTCTTTCACATTTATGATGTTCTATTATTTTCTATCCTTCTTCATGGTTTGCGGCGGGGGGGAGCTCCCGCCAACCCCATCGCCGTCAACAACATGAGCAGCATCAGCATTCAGCATTCTCAGCCGCCGTCTTCTGCCTTGTTCTTAACATTCACCATCATCCATCACTTCTTTCTTCGATGCCACGGGCAAGAACCTATGATGTTATCGGGATCCTGATTTTCCTCCTCATCTTCCTTCGCAACCATTGCATTCCCATGCTCCCCAGTCCACGAGCCCTGCCCTTAAGCTCCCTAGTATGGGTTCAAGCCCCTGCCCTGATTATGAGCTTTAATCTTGTTCATTCGTTTCTCGCAGACACAATCCTAAGGCATGAAGTTTCATTGTCGCAGCTACCTGGATTGCAAACTGTGCCGAAGTCAAGTGCCAGAAGGCTCAACGTTTCAGATTTGTCAAGTGGATGCCTTGCATTCGGTGTTGACTTGGGCAGAGATCAACAGAATGTTGCAGACTTTGTAGTGCACTCGCGAGGCCAATGGTGCCACCTCGCTGGGCATCAGACAAAGTATCAGGCCCTCTACGAAAGAACAACTCAGGACACGGCGATTCCAACAATGTTGACAAGGCTGCTACTCCTGCTTCTTCTTCCACATTGCCGGAGCATAACCTGTACGGCAGTCCTTGGGATAGTTGGTCCCATCTTGGAGTCTTTGGTCCTGACGAACACTTCCCAAATTGGTTTCCAGTTGGAGAGTATGATTACACTAGCTGGAGCCAACGTTGGCATGACGGTTGGCAGCCCTGGCACTGGTCGGGTTGCAACGGCCCTGGGCCTTGCGGACAAGAAGCGGGCAAATTTCAGGATGGAGGCGCCTTGCCGCAAGAACAGCAGCAAAAGCTGGACCATCAAAAGCGCCAGAAACAAATTCGGGAAGCAATCATTGCAGATGTGCGCAGTGGATTGCAGATGCTGCTTGCTGACCAATCGCTGGATGGCAGCCTCAACCCAGCACCTTGGTCAGCATAAGGTGGCAAACAGGATTATGTTTCCAGCGTGTGCATTTTGACAGGAGCTGGTCATCATGATCTTGGAGAGTGCTGCGGGACAGGGAGCCATTGAACTTGTGGAAGTTGCGGAAGCATTATTCACGACCCAATCGCGCGCACAGGTGGCTCTTGACATCGCATCCTACGCAGGCATGCTGCAGCGGCTGGTCCTTGATCCATCTTGGTATAGGCCAGCCGCAATTCGACTTCTGCTGAATGTCTCTCTGGACAAGGAGCCTTGCTAACCTTCTTGGAGCAGTCACAAATTTGTGAGAACAGGTGACCACACATGTTCAAAAACCTCCAGGACAGCGAACCCGTGCCTTTGGCTCCTGGTCTTCTCACGGATGCTGAGACTGTGATCTGTGAGCGGAATGCGACGGACCGGGGTCATAGATTGCCTGAGTTCACATCTTTTGTGGTCCACTGTCCGAGGCTGTCAAATTAATGCTCTGTCCGCATTGTAGTAAGGCAGCTTTGTGGCCGCTTGCGGTCATGCTCATTGCTGATTGCTGCGGGTACGTTGGGCGCCAGCAACAAAAGCACTTCGAGGCTCCAAGCTCTCCATTCTCCATCTCCATAGGCAAAAAAGCTGCACACAGTGATTGGTTTTTGTTGTTTAAGACCGTCCGGCCGCCTCTGGGTTAGCCAGGTCATTCGCTGAGCCCCATACACAGACACAGACCCATCTGCTGGGTCACTGTTTGCTGGAGCTTACATAAAGCCTTTTCCACCTCTCACTGTTCGTGTGATTCACTGTTGTGTGGAATGATGTTGCTCCAGGGAAATCGTTTCTCGCTCTCCACTTGCCTTCTGATCAAAGTCTGGGGAGGCTGCCTAGGCCTATGATGTTGATTCTCTCCTCAAACTTGAAAATGCACGAAGTTCTTACACTAGTTTGGCGGGCCTGGGGAGCGGCTGCTGCAGCACCGCCAGAAGGGGTTTCTTATCGCCAGGCACGATTACTTTGGGTTTCACTCTGCATTTGCACCCAGTCTGGCGAAGGAAGAGGCTGGGCAAGATGAAGATGGTGAGGCAGAGGATGCAGATCAAGTCGGGAAGGAATGGCCGGAAGAACTAGTCTTCAGGGGCTGCGTGTGTTGGCCAGAGTTGAATGGACCTTTCAGGCGCACACGGGATTTCGATCATGTGAATCAGCATCAGTGCCCTACATACGAGCGACGCGTCATCACAGCGACGGGCGAAGTTCGGTTGTTATGCTTCTACTGGCAGTACAGCGGGTGGGCAGGTCCGGATCCCGTTCAGCAGGATGCGGACCATGATCAGATTGGATCATCGGCCAAGAAGAAGCGGCGCCGTGCTGAACCTGTTGCAACTGGCTGGTGGTTGGGCAGCCATATGGGTGCAAAGAATGGCCTGGCAGGTATGTGCAAGGAAGGCTCCAACTCAGAGCTTCCGCCAGGAACAGGTTGGCATCTCAAGAATCTGACACAACCAGGACAAAAGACATTTCAGTCTGATCCAGCTGGATTTGTTGACCAGGAACGGCTTCAGATCGAGGCCCTGCAGCGCCTCGACTTGACCAAGTTGCAGGGACACGTTGTCTCACCGAAAGGTCCAACATGTGCAGGTTATTTTGGCCACTTCTGTACTCTCCTGCATTTAGAGTATCTTCAAGAGGTGGCTACTTTGAGACGACGTGCCTCCAGGCGCTCTGGAGAAGAGTTGGAACGAGGCGGCTGGGCTTTGCTTGGCCTGCGTGTTCGCGATGTCGCGGAGCGGCCAGCAAAAGGCAAAGGTGGTAAAGGCGCAGGCAAGGCACAAACATCGTCTTTCCAGATGACACTATGGCTCCCACCCAAGACTGACGTTGACAAGTTGCGATTTCGTAAAGGTGATAGTATTATTTTGTCTGCCACACACCCGCTACAAGACAGATTTGCAGAAGGTCAACTCCAGGATTTAACAGACAAGTGGGCTTCACTGTCATTTGATGGCGTGCGGCCGCCGCAAGACTGCAAGCAGCGGCGGTGGAGACTTGACAAAGGCAGTAACAGGCTCAGCTATGTGAGGCAGCTTGATTCGCTGGTGTCATTGTGCACTGGTTACGTTGACAACGCTGTTATTGGCGAGGATTGTTGCAAGATCTTCCAGATAATTACCAACGGGAAGGTTGGACAATGTGATTTTTGGGCTTCGCAGGTGTGGAGTGAGCGGGAGAACGAGCAGCAAGTTGAAATGACAATTCCAGAGACCTTGGAGCAGCGAACAGCATCGACAGATGTCAAGCGGGAAGCTGGCGAAGCAGCAGCTTCAGATATGTCAGCTTCAGAGCTTGGTTTGAAGCCTGGTGACATTGTGACATTGCAAGGCCTGAAATCTGAGGAACTGAATAATCAACAGGGTGAAGTTGTTCTGGTGGATGGAGGCATTATTCATGTGAATGAGCAGACAAATCAAGTCGAGGAAGAGCGAATTAATGTCAAAGTGAATGGCTCCATCAAGGCAATACGTATATCAAATCTGAAACGGCTAGAGGACAGACCCATGGAACCTGCCACAAAGCCTACAGCAGCAGTTGCTGTACTGGCTGCGGAGCAGTCGACGCATCATTCGGAAATGATGGCACAGTGCTTGGAGGGCTTGTCATCCTGCACTGACTCGCAGCATCAAGCTGTGGCTGCCGCTTTGCAGAGACGCTTCACGATTGTTCAAGGTCCACCAGGAACAGGCCAGTCTGAGCCAAGTGCCGGGTTGAAGTCTGCACACGCATGCGCGCCTGTATGGGTGGCACAGCGCATTTCGGAGGTAGATGTGTGATTTTGCTTGTTTTGCACACGCTGGTGATGGGTTTGTGGGTGCAGGTTATTCATCAGGAGCCAGGGGCATGAAAAACGAGAATTCCACCCTCCTACCGACACCATACCCAACACATGAACACAGACAAAGCATGAAAAGGCCAACGGCCCAATGACCTGTCTTAAGCTGGTGGGTGTTTTTGGGGCGCATGAAGGAAAGAAGGACACCGGATTCTGTGGGGTTAGATTGCTGCTGGCACCGGTGGAAGTGAGGTCGTGGAAAAGAGCACTTCATTCTGCTGTGCGAGTTCTAAATGATGAATGTGCAATTTCTTTGTGGCCCATCGGGCTGGCATAGGGTACAGTGGCTTGGCCTTGTTGTTCATGTCAGTGTCAGCACCTGTGCCAAGTTGCCAGGCAAGACAGCTACAGCGGTTCAGATTCTACGAAGCTGGTCGCGTTTGGGATTGAAGCCGCTGTTGGCCGTGGCTGACGGAAACATTGCCGTTGACAACATTGCTGTGAATTGGCAGCATGTTTCGCTCCTGCTCGTAGCATTTGGGGTGAATATTTTTTCAATGCCATGCTGGAAAGTCTTGCAGCTAACGTTGCAAGCTTGACTATGTCCTGTCCAGATCTCACATGCAATTGGCTGTGAGAGCTGCAGGCTGGGCTGGCCAAGCAGGGGGTCGCGTGGCAGCAGCAGCAGCAGCAGGGTTTTCATCTTGCATTCTTGGATGATCGCCGGGTAGATTTGAGGCAAGAGGATTGGAACGTCCGCATTAGCTTTTTTATTGCTGCATAGAACATAGTCTCGTCGGTGCGAGTGTGCTCCAGGTTGACGTCAAAACTGTTCGAGTTGGTCGCCCAGAGAAGATCCGCCCCGAGTTGGAAGAAATAACGCTGGACAACAAGATGCGTCTCATGAAGCAGCAGCGGCAGGACTTGAGAATTCCAGCCAACTTGGAAATTCTTGGGCTAGGGTAGCCGAGCAAGACTGGCATCATGGGATTTAACATTCAGCTGTGACTCAACTCAGGCAAGTAACAAGAAGATGCGAACCCGGCTTTCCGAGAATCCCTAGGCTCCAGCTAGGGCAATTTGCCGGCAGGAACATCGGCAAGCTGAAGAGCGAGCGACTGCATTGGCTGCCTTGGAGCACATGACAGTGCAGGATCTCAAGATCAAGGACCTGCATCTGTTCTGCCTCAGCAGCCCGTGAATTTGCACGTGCAGCTTTGTGCAGGCATCCGATTTGAATGCGCGTTCTTGCCTTGGGGTCTGGAAGCAATTTTCCCAAGTTGCGTGCTGATTGCCGACATGTTCTTCGCAGGTCTCGAACATGATGCTTTGGAGGCATGGTGGTTTTTGCACTTCCAAAGGCTGTCCACGTGGACACCGGCTGTTTGCGGTGGAAGTGTATGCACGCCGTCTGCATCTGACAGACTTAGCGATTTTAGGTGAAGGCAGACCAAGAGCACGTGGACGTTGATAGAGGTGCATGATTTGCGTGGTTGCTCGGTTGCGGACGTGAATGCCTGAAGCGCGTGCTTCCTGCGATCGCCAGGTAATGCGATAGGTGTACCGGCAGCAAGCGTGCTCGACCTTGTGTTGGAGTCTATACGGAGCTCAGAGGCCGATCCTGCCGATCCTCCTCTGCTCGCTCTTTTGACAGACGCCGAGCGATGTAAAGGCTGCGAAAGCTGATGCCGCGCTGGCAGCAAGCCTGGAAGAGCGAAGCTTTGCCATCAGATGACGAAGTGTTATGCATGGTTAATATGGTGTGCCTTGGAGTGGCTCGAAATTGTACCCTGAGGAACTGAGGCGGAAGCCCAACAGGAAGAGCGACAGAGGCGAATCAAGTTGCGAAAGGAAGAGGCTGAGATTCAACTGGAGGCTCAGCGCGCCGAGTTTGGATTGAAGAAGCTCCCAATTGCAACCGCAACGTGCTTTGACGGAGGTGCTTCGCCAAGCGGATGTGCTTTGTGCACAGTCTCTTGATTGCACCAGTGTTTGAGGATGTCTGGTTTGCCCTTTCAAATGCTGAGCCTGCGCTGCATTTTCGGACAACACATCCAAGACGCAAATGTGAACTTGCCAAAACATCTTGATGAAATCAATTTGAAGATGTTGGTCTGGCTTCTGCCATGGAATTGTCTGACTCTGCAGCACACTAAGAGCCTTTGGCCTGTCGGTCCTTTTCTTGTTGTCAGTTTCTTCTTGTCGTCCGTGATCCTGACGTTTCTTTTCGCCCACGAGTCAGCCGGGTGAAAAGCCTTTTTTCGGGTTGAAGGGCTAGTCACGTACATTGCGCGCGCACCCGCTGCGGCAGCAGCTTCACCGGCGGCGGCAGCAACTCTTCTGGCAGCAGCAGCATTTGAATTCTCGTTCGCATTGGCATTCGCATTTGCATTCAGAAGTGTGAAACCATCGTGCTTTGGCGGGCAAGTGCGACTTGAAGTGAAGGAAATCGCAATGCATGCAAGGCAGGTTGTCGGCATAAGGGGTGGTTGTGCATTCGGGGTTTATGGGATCAGGTATCTCAATTTCGACAGGAAGTGCGAGCTTGAGTGCCGGATTGACCCTTGCGCTGCTGTCTTGGCCATGCAAGCGGCAAAAACAATGCAGGCTGAACCAGGCTGTTGGAATTGGCTATGGCAGGCAACATGAGAAAACAGCTGTTGTGACAGCTCTTGGACGGGCGCAAACTTGTAAGCAAGAGCAAGAACATACGTCTTGCGAGCGTAGCTCAGCCAGCACTGACTCTTGTGAAGCTATGGCGCTGGTCATTCCTGTGCAGCCATCGCACTGGAAGAGGCTAATCATGATGAAATAATGCAAAGCTGTTGTGGCAGGAGTGGTGTGATGCTGGAGCCTTCACTATACACCACTTTTTGACAGACTCAAGCGGCGACAGTGTTCTGTCCCGTCCTGCACCTACCGGAGCGGGGGCTTTGTGAAGTCCGGTCATCAGCCGGAAAGGCGAAATAAGGCTTGAATAGGGCTTTTTGAAAGGCAGTCTTCTATCTAGGGCAGCACAGATTAGGCTACGTCGACGTTTGCCGGGAAGGATACCTCTACCAGTTGGAGCATTCTAAGCTATGTGTATAGCTGCCTCATATGTGGGGATTGTCCTAAATTACTGTCAATACGGGGTCCTATATTTGGGTTCATATTATAATACGGGGCCCTATATACATTTCCCCCATTTTGGGAACAGTAATTTAGGGAAACTTCCATGTGCAAGTTGGGAATCAACTGCCAATTCCCCAAGAGGATGCCCACCAGTCACCAGTGCCTGCACGAGCGACATGTGCCAGCAATGATCTGGTTTGTTGCGGTCGCAAGGGGCTCTGCAATAGCAGGCTTGCTGGCTTTCGAGTGGTTGTAGCAGTGGCTGAGCTGCGGTACTCGGAGGTCACACCCCACATTGGTGCCGAAGTGTGTCGTCGCAGACGAGTTGTGCTCATTGCTCTGTGCGGGCTGCAGGACCAAGCTGGGCTTGAAGGCAAAGGTTTCTTTTCACGAGCATGCACTGACATCAATGTTGAGTAGCACATGTTGTGTTACTCAGCAAGCGACTTTGATTCAAGTGCCTGCGCATACACTTGTGTGCCCCTTTCGAGGCGGTTGGGCAGGCAAAGAATCTAGCAGAGGTTTCTGGAGCCTAGCGATGATGATAGTCCAGTCCGCGACGCAAGCCCCCGCCCAACTAATGTACAATGACCCCACCCGCACCCAGGTGTGGATAATTACATGTTCTGGGCGCGATTGCCGAAATGTACCAAGGGGCACCTATATTGTACATTTTTTCTTCGTTGTATTGATGTCACATGCAGACACTCTCTCACTGCCGTACTGCAGTATGTTCAATGCCCAGCCCCTAGCCCCAACGCATCCCCCCGATAGGCACGATAAACAAAGCCTTTGTTTGCAGCATTGACGGCTTGCTCATGGCTGTTTTGAAGCTTCTCATGCTGACTGGCTATGTCCCCGCCCATGCCTGCTGTTGTATATTTCTAGCTGGGGTGATTGTACATTTCCAGGCCCCAAAATGTACAACAAGGGTAGGGCTTTCAAGACCTGTTTAGGCCACGGGCTTGCGACGCTTGAAGCTCCAGAGCCAAGCAAGCCTCCCGAAGCAGAGTTTGCTGTTGCACTGGAAAGGCATACACATCTTGCCACATGTCATTTGTGAAGGAGATGCCCCGTCCCCGCGGTTTGGAGAACGTTCCATAGTGACCTGGGTGGTTCCAAGATGCATATGGTGGTCACCCGAGCCGCCCCCGCTAGTGCCATTCTGCTTTTCTTGTCCGCCGGCCAGTGTCGGATCAGCGTTTGCAGGGCAAGGCTTCTGCTCGTGGAGGAATGGCTTGTTAGCTTGTTAGTCATTGGAGTGGGGCTTCCGATGCCTTTGTTTTCTTCTGTCTTGTCGCATCCACACCAGGAGGAGGCGAAAGGTATCGAAAGGTCAAACAGGGGCAGTAGGAAAGGACGGTGCCCGAGTCAACGGTCACAGCCGCCTGGCCCATCGGCCGGTTATCATTTTCCAGAAAAGCATGAATTCTGCGCCTTGTCTGTCGTTTGAAGCTGCGCTCAGGCACGGCAGAGGCTGGTTCAGTGAGCTGAAGTAAGCTGAATGGACCCCGGGCCACCCGCTGAAGAATGCTTCTATAAAGCTTTTCATGGAACTGGAGTTTTGGTTGCTAGAATTCCCATATGAAGTGGAGAAGATTCATCAGCGCATTGGCATAACAAAGTGGGTGAAGGTTGGCTATACAACAGGAAGACTGCGGCAGCGTCGGCGGCGGCAGCAGCAGCGATGCCACCACTGCCGCCGCCACTGCCGTTGCCACCGCCGCCGCCGCTGCCCCCGCCACTGCTGCCGCCGCTGCCCCGGCCGAGTCACCACACAGCCACCGCACAGCCACCACAGAGTTGCTACCAATTGCTACCACAGCCACACAGCCGCCGGGCAGCCGCCACGCAGCAGTCTGCTTGAATATTGCCAGCGAATCTTAGGTTGATTACTGCAGGAGGTGGCCTTTTGTCCAAGCAGCTTCCCTGCAGATACAGTCATTTTCGCTGCGTCTGGACTTTTGCGGATTCATTGAAGCCTCTAAGGCTCGGGCCTTTCAAGGGCATTCTCATTGATGAAATTGTAGCTTGGCCGAGTTGGGAGGATCTCCCCATGCGAATGCAAAATGTAGAGTCACATCATCAGATCCTTGCTCGAAGCCAAAGCTTCATGTGGAGGCACAAGCCACAGAGATAGTGTCCATCGTCCCTATCGTGCCTGACCAGCATTGCTTCAGTGGATTCCAATGCTTTGCACACTCACCCTGGGACATCAGCTGAAGTTTTCAGAAGTTTTTTTTTAAGCAGTGTCCATGTTTTGTCATACCCCGTGTCTTGTATTCGGCATGCTCGCCGGATTTGATGGTTTGCAGGTGCAGCGCAAATGTGAACGAGTTGTCTTAGCAGGGGACCATTGCGCCTCGGCATGCCGCTTGTGTGTGCCTGTGCGGCTTCATGGTAGCCAAGGCCAGCTTCCTCCTACTGTTCAGTCCCAGGAGGCTGTATTCTTTAGAAAGAGCCATGCTCGACAGAGCCGACGTTTTTTTCTGCAAATAATGTCGCTTGAAAGGCAGAACGCAGAGGCCAGCGTGTCGCGTCTGAGCAAGACAGGGATTATGAGCCTGCAATTGCTGCAAGCCCATGAAATTGGCAGCATCTGATCCAGGGTTGACGCTTTCACTGTACGGCAGGCTGGTTCAGGACACTGTTGCTCTGCTCCGTGCTGATGATGATTCCTAGCACAGCCATAGGAGGGCGTGGAACCATTCTTCTTGGACACGCAATTCCGATCCCATCCCAAACTCGTGGAGTGGGTTGCAAGCTCCATTTACGGCGGGCGGTTGGTGAGTCGGGGGCTCAGAGTCAATGGCGTTGCGTAGTGGATGCGCAGACGAAGAACTCTTGTCTTGCCAGGTGGTATAATGGATAGCGCACGCCCTCCTGTTAACGGCTTCGATTGGCCCAGGAAGAAGGCAGCTGTAACCCCTCTCAACGTGCAAGAGTGGCTTGTGCTCGTGTAGTGGTGAGGTGCCAGTTGCTTTTGTTGAGATGGGGCCTTCGGCCCGTTGCTTGACAACATCGATGCAAAAAGAATGTGGCCAAAGTATGCACGCTGCAGCTTCGCATGAGTTGAGTCAAGCAGCCACCCCAGGCGAGACCCAAGAACACGAGTCCAAGATGAATGCGGCTGAAGCAGAAAAGGTCGTCCACATCGTTGAGCCGCTTGGTATGGCATCCTAAGCCTTGATTCCTGAAGGTCCTGGAGCTCTGTGCAAATTCCGTCGCAAAACGCAATGTTTGAGCGTCCGTACGTGGCATTCCATGAAGTGGAAGGTCAGTACTTGACGCTGGTTGCACCGCCGAAGATTTGGGGATTGTGACTCCCTACATGGCGCAGGCGCTTGGGGAGGTTGTCATTTGCAATTTTCCGCGAAGGGAGATTGTGCAGGTTAGATTGCTGAGAACCTCTTGGCGAAACCGCTGCAAGGACAACTTCCAGCTGCCCCTCCCTAGCGATCTTGATTTTGGGCCTGTAGGCTGTAGATTGAATAAGGTTGAATCAAATCAACTGAAGGAACATCTAGGAGCCAAATCAGCTGGAGCCTGTTGCTTCAGTCCGCAGGTTTCAAGCAGCCAGTGCACTGCTTCCAGTTGCAGATGGTAATACACGCAACAGGAGAGGGGCGCGAAGTGGAACGCTTCGAGGATTTCAAGACGCCCGGCCAGGTTTGTTGGTGGAACTGCTGCGGCTGCATACTCGGAATCGCTTGCTATGTAATTTGCACGCAAGGAGCACTTGAAATCGCAAGCCACTTGCTCGAAGAGATGGCTTGCCGACAACTCCCAGCTTTGAATCACTTGGCACTTGAAGCCGGCCCCTGTTTGATAGTGTCATTGCAAAAACGGGGCAAGTGCCCAGGTGTAGACAACTTCCAGGGCCGCGAGAAGGAGCTGATTGTTTTCTCGGCGGTGAGGAGATGATAGCGCTGGTTGTTGCAAAGACTTTGAGAACATGTCACGTTGCCGCCAGGAATAATTCAGCTGGGCGGGTTGGATTTCTTGCAGACTGGCGACGGCTCAACGTCATGCTGACTCGCCAAAACCTCATTGACAGTGAGGAGAAGTGGACGTAGAACAAGTCTGTTGAGATCCAGTAAGGTGCTCGTCGGGGTTTGGTTGTCGTTGGCCATGGCCAGACTTTGCAGAAGGACCGCTTTCCACATGGAGCCGTTTTGCACAGATTGTTGGAGGCCTGAGCCCTTGAAACTTTTTCAGTGCCTTCCAGCTGCAGCGGGGTTAGGAAAAAGGGCTTTTGTCAACCGATGCGTGCCAGCTTTAGGGACAGTTGGACAGGGGCCTTTATGTTCTTACAGGGTGGAGTCCAAGTTGTCACTGGCCATGTGGCAAGAGGTGACGTAGTATGGCTCAACAAGGCCCTGAAGATGTTGACAAATCAGCACAGCTGTTCAAGTCGAGTTCAGGTAAAAGCAATTGCCAGCGGTACCCTTGACAGCATTTCGTCAAGAAACATTCGTGATGGAAATGAAGTATCGCCTGTTCTCTCACTTGAGTTGTCCTCCCTCTGCAAGCCGACAGCACTGGCGAGTTGGACGGTTTGCAGGTGATAGTGTTCAGAGGCTTAGAGATTGCACTGATCGGCTGACATGCACTTGGCTTAGTGCGTGGTTTGCGCTCTAGGTGCATGTCAGAAGCAGAGCTTCCATGTCAAGTCAGAACCACCCTTCATGTCCTGCCCCCTGGATGGCTGACCATGTTGGTGTGCTGGATGGCAGAGCTCTCCAGTGCGCACTCCTTTTTATCTCCAGTGCGCACTCCTCACATTT